TCAAGCAAATGTAAACACCATTTCCGGGTCAGCTAAATTAATTGAAGGATCTGGAAAGGCTTGTATAATGCTTCCAAATGGAACAAAATTAATAATAAATAATGCTTTATATTCGAGTAAATTTCGAAGAAATCTCATAAGCTTCAAAGATGTACGCCAAAATGGCTATCATCTAGAAACAATGACAACAGATCAAAAAGAGTATATATGCCTCACGGCAGAAAAACATGGCAAGAAACATATATATGAGAAATTGCCAGCATACTCTTCGGGGTTATATCGTATAAACATACGACCCGTGGAAATCAACATGGTATCTAACCAAAAGTTAGATGACAAACATTTGATTATTTTATGGCATGATCGTTTGGGACATCCAGCAACTAGGATGATGCAAAGAATAATAGCACATTCAGTTGGACATTCAATAAGAAATGTCAAAATTCCCCGATCAGATGAATTAACATGCTCTGCATGTTCACTTGGCAAATTAATAATAAGGCCATCTATGAACAAAATTGCTATTGAATCTCCAAAATTCTTGGAAAGAATTCAGGGAGACATATGTGGGCCAATTAATCCAGCATGTGGACCATTTAGATATTTCATGGTTTTAATTGATGCCTCTACACGATGGTCACATGTTAGTCTACTTTCAAGTAGAAATGTTTCCTTAGCAAAATTACTTGCCCAAATCATCAAATTAAGAGCACAATTCCCAGATCATACAATAAAGAAAATAAGACTTGACAATGCTGGGGAATTTACATCCCAAACATTTAATGATTATTGTATGTCAATTGGAATTGATGTTGAACACCCAGTAGCTCATGTTCATACACAAAATGGTCTAGCTGAATCACTAATTAAGAGATTACAATTGATTGCAAGACCATTATTAATGAGGTCAAGATTGCCATCATCTGCTTGGGGACATGCTATAATACATGCAGCAGAGCTAATTAGATTGAGACCTACAGCTTATCATAAATTCTCACCACTACAACTTGTTTGTGGTCGAGAACCAAGTATCTCACATCTAAAAATCTTTGGTTGTGCTGTATATGTTCCCATTGCTCCACCCCAACGAACAAAAATGGGTCCACAAAGAAGGCTGGGAATTTATGTCGGGTTTGAATCCCCCTCTATAATTAAATACCTTGAACCATTGACCTGGTGACTTATTTACGGCTAGATTTGCGGACTGTCACTTTAATGAAACAGTATTCCCAGCCTTAGGGGGAGAGAAAGTAGACCCACATAAGAAAGAAATTGAACTCATTTGGAATGCAACACAACTGTTGATGTTAGACCCACGAACAAATATGTGTGAACAAAAAGTTAAGAAAATTGTTCATTTACAAAGTGTTGCAAATCAATTTCCTGATGCATTTGTAGACACAAAGAAGGTGACAAAATCACATATACCAGCAGAAAATGCCCCTGCACGTATTGAGATCCCAACTGGTAATAAGGCCATAGAAAATGAATCTCAGGCACGCAGAAAGCGTGGAAGACCACTTGGTTCAAAAGATTCTAAGCCAAGAAAATTGAAAAGATTGGATGGAATAAAAAATGAGACTAATGATGTTCCCCCGTCAGAAGGTCAAGAAAAACCAAATGTGGATGAAAGTAAAGAAAATGATGATAATCCAAAAGGGGACGAACAAGAAGACAACCCTACGGGGAATGAACAAGATGTTCAAAACATCGATAACAATGAAATTTCAATGAATTACGTCTCTACAAAGACTCAGTGGAATAGGAAAGATGTTATCGTTAATGAAACATTTGCAAATTCCATCGCAATCGACATCGTGTCTGATGAAAATGATGTTGAACCAAGAACTGTAGAAGAATGTCGACGTAGGAGTGATTGGCCAAAGTGGAAGGAGGCAATGCTGGCTGAGTTAAAGTCACTTGAAAAACGAGAAGTTTTTGGGAAAATAACCCTTACACCAGCAGGTGTAAAACCCGTTGGATACAAATGGGTATTTGTAAGAAAACGTAACGAGAAAAATGAAATAGTTAGATACAAGGCAAGACTTGTAGCCCAAGGATTTTCTCAAATTCCAGGGATTGATTATGAAGAAACATATTCTCCAGTGGTTGATGCAACTACATTAAGATTTCTGGTAAGTTTGACAGTCACAAAAGGACTGCAAATGCGATTAATGGATGTAGTGACTGCGTATTTGTATGGGTCACTCGATACGGACATTTACATGAAAGTCCCCGAAGGACTAAAACTACCAGAAAACCACAAGCCTAGACAACTGCTTTCCATAAAACTAAAAAGGTCACTTTATGGATTGAAACAATCTGGAAGGATGTGGTACAACCGTCTGAGTGAATACCTTATGAGAGAAGGATTCAAAAACAACCAAGTTAGTCCCTGTGTTTTCATAAAGCGATCACAATCAGGATTCGTATCATTGCAGTTTATGTTGATGATTTAAATATCATCGGAACCCCAAATGAACTCGAGAAAACTGCAAAATACTTGATGAAAGAATTTGAGATGAAAGACCTTGGGAAAACTAAATTTTGCCTTGGACTACAAATTGAGCACTTGAGTCATGGCATTTTTGTCCATCAATCAAACTATACAGAAAGAGTTTTGAAACGTTTCTTCATGGACAAAGCAACCCCAACCAACTTCCCAATGGTTGTTCGTTCTTTGAATATGAAAAATGATCCATTCAGACCCCAAGAAGAAAATGAAGAGATTCTGGGTCCAGAAGTACCATACTTAAGTGCAATTGGAGCCTTAATGTACTTAGCTAACAATACTAGACCCGACATAGCTTTCTCTGTGAATTTGTTAGCCAGGCACAACAATGCACCAACATATAGGCATTGGAAGGGAGTTCGACACTTACTCCGTTACCTACGAGGGACACAAGACCTTGGTTTATATTACCAACCAAAACAAGATGTTGCTCTCATTGGGTATGCAGACGCTGGATACTTATCAGATCCTCAAAATGCCAAGTCACAAAATGGATATGTATTCACTTATGGCGGCACTGCAATATCATGGAAATCAACAAAGCAGACATTGACCGCGACATCATCAAATCATGCAGAGTTGATAGCCCTCTATGAAGCACGACGGGAATGTGTGTGGCTGAGGTCGATGATCAGTAATATCCAAAAGGAGTGTGGAATGAACGCAATAACGGAAGACCCAACCATCATCTTTGAAGACAATACAGCATGTATCGCTCAAGTAACTGAAGGATATATTAAGGGAGATAAAACGAAACATATTGCCCCAAAACTATTCTTCACACATGATCTGCAAAAGGACGAGGAAATAAATATCCAGCAAATTCAGTCTTGTGAAAATCTTGCCGACCTTTTCACCAAATCACTTCCTTCGAAGAAATTTGAACAGTTAGTTCACAAAATCGGAATGCGACATCTTCGTGAACTATGCTGAGATCAGGGGGAGTATTATATGTACTGCACTCTTTTTCCCTTCGATCAGGTTTTTATCCCACCGGGTTTTTCCTGACAAGGTTTTTAACGAGGCAGTATATCAAAGCATATAATACTATATCGTTGTACTCTTTTTCCCTAGCTATGGTATTTACCCCATAAGGGTTTTACCTAGCAAGGTTTTTAATGAGGCAACAAATACCTTTCTGTATAATAAGTATGGGCATTCAAGGGGGAGTGTTAGAAGATAAATATGAATGCTTATAATTATTTGATTTGATTTCACAATGTTCACACAAGTCCAAAGACTTGTGAACTTGTGTGGCATTATATGTAAGACTCTTGGCTATATAAGCCATGTTACCGGAGCAATATACATAATCAATTTCTCCATCTTCTCTTACTCCTTTATAAAACTTTCTATCGGTAAAACTTTAACACTCTCTTCGTTTTCATATACTTTATTCATTTTTTTTTAATTACCACGTTGATTTACTAATGAGTTGACAATATCAAGAAAACAAAAAAATCAAATTTTCCAACAACGTTTTACTTCATACCATTTGTTTTCAATAATTAAGTAAAAATAACATATCAAATTTAGTTTTGGAAAATTTGTCAGGAACTACCCTAAAGATAGACAGTTTTGTGAACAATTACCTTTATTTTTTATTTTTTATTTTTTTAATTTGTCAAAGTTTGCCTAACACTACCACTAATGGATTCCGTCCAATTGAGCTGTTTGTAGGGCCCACACCTACGTTTTTCATCCAATTAACTCCCTTCCCACTTATTTAAAGTCTTACTGTTGTTCTTTTCCCGTCAAACTCATCCAACATCTACGTTTGTAGGGCCCACACCTACGTTTTTTTTAAAAAAAAATTGTGAAGAACAGTAAGACTTTAAATAAGTGGGAAGGGAGTTAATTGGGTGGGAAAACGTAAATGTGGGTCCAACAAACGACTCAATTGGACGAAATCCGTTAGTGAAAAATGCTAGACAAACTTTAGGCATCTTATGGGTAGTTGTTCCCAAGGGAAAAAAAAAACGGGTAGTTATTCACAAAACTGTTCATCTTTAGAGTAATTCCTGACAAAATTTCCTTTAATTTTTATGTAGTTCAAAAATAAAATTGTTGCAGTGAAATCGCTTTCCTTCTATCATAAAATAAATCAAAATAAAATAATCCCTAGAAGTCAAGCCACCTACACACACACAAAAAAAAAGAAAAAGAAAAAAAAAAGGTCAAATTCCGATAATACGATAATTGGTGATCTTAAACATGATATATGATATTAACTATCGTTATCAACTTAAGGATAAGATTCATTCTCCATTGTATTAAGGTGGGAAAAAAACCCCAAATGTATTCAACACCATTTATTGTACTAATGCATATTGAGCTCGGATTTTGCTTGAAAATTGGAGATTCTTTATTGTAATTGACAGTACTATATTCCGAAATTGTGATAGGATTCCACAATAGTTTGGGGGAGGGGGGTTGATTCCATATCTCACTCAAAGATACAATATTCTCAATTGAAACATATCTTGTTATATAGCTGGAATCATGTGTGACACTTTACACGCTGGACATTATCGACTAGGGGTGAGCTAAAGTTTAAAGTATTCAGAATTGAAACCGAAACATGTTAGTAACCTGCAGTTTTGAGAAACAGAATGGAGACCTTAAATTTATGGAACTAGAACCCCTTGGGTACCCCTATCAACGACAATTCTAAACCATGCATAAATCAATCCTAGCCCAGTTTTGGAAGATATTAATAGAAGAACAGGTTGACCCCAAGTCCAACAATTTAATGCTTAAATTAATATATCATAGACTCATAGTTGTAAACATGGTCAAGACATAATAGTAACATAATATTAGCATAATCGGATAACTTGTAATTAAGTTAACAACTTAACTTGGTGTTAAACAAGTTAACAACTTAGCTTGGTCTACTGTTTAGGTAGTTTGGACTGTACAATACTTGAACAATAATTGTTATATTAGATTAGAAAAGTTCAACAAATCCATAAGAAGAATTATGGCTTCCCTTGAGAAAGTTTTTGCAAATCTTCTCCAAGTGTTTTCTATCAGGCTCGATGTTTTCTATTTTCGACCTTGATGCTTCAGCAAATTCTTCCTATGTATAGGACAAATTGAAATATATTAGAAATTAAAAAGGTTGGTTACAAGCTCATGTCAAAACAATTCGCATGGTTTTAAATTTCAGATTATGAAAACTATTTCGTCAAAAAAAAGATATGAAAACTAAACATGTGATATGGAGTATTAAGTTTCAACATTGGAGTTGTTATTACCACTATAGAACCGTTGGTAAGTAGACGATCAATAAGGTTGTAAAGAATGTCTTTGGTATATTCGGGATGACCTTGAATACCGAAAATGTGGTTGCCAATTGTAAACATTTCCACCTTTGTCTTATCAGAAAATGCAACAACTTCAGCATCAATTGGCACCTCCCACACTTCATCTTGATGGCATTTAATTATTGTTAGGGTTTGTGGAATTTCATGATTTGAAACCTCTAAATTAAGTTGAGAGGTCAAAAATTCCTTGTTATTTATTTTTATTTCTCTTAATCCTATATCCCATCCTGTGGGAGATCTTGCCACTTTTCCTCCCAATGCCCTGCATAACACCTATAAAAAATGTATCAAAATTCAAATTAAAACGATAGTAGTAATTAATAATAATAGGTTACTTTCTAAGTTTAAACTAAATAGAGTGCATTAACTTTAAAGTGGTTTAATTTATTTTATTCTTAAGATACTTTTGTCTTGTAACTTTCAACAACTTATAGCTATGATAGAGTTGAAAAGAACTTATATAAAAAAGGATAAGTATGTTTTATCTATTTACTCAATGAAAACGGACTTAATTGATCGTGCTCTACTACTAGCTAGGACCGGTTGAGAGAGTTCTTTGTTATACGTTCATACAATTAGTGTATTATTGGTATCATGACATGTCAATTGTATTATGTGGTAAGTCAAAAATATTTTTGTAATATTCGACAAATATTCTTGTAAAGTTATTTTATGGAAAAAAAAAAGAATAATCATGTTGTAGAGGAAAAAAAAATAGTCCAAAAATATTCTTTAATAGATATATTCCACTTTATGTATTGATAAAGATTTAAGATTATATTTTTCCATCAAACCCCAAAAAAATAAACAAAAATAAAATTCCTACCATATTGATGCACTAGCTATCACGAGAACAAAACCTAGTTAACCAATAGGCCTCGTTGTATAAGGTAAGCCAAGTCAATGTAATATGCTCAATAATATGATATCTCGCTTTATTTCTTGCATATAAGGTAATTTTATGTTCCCTTGTCCCATAATTATAATTATTATGAAAATGCTTAACCATAATTACTATTAAATAATTCTCCTTTCTCCAAATGAATATATATATATATATATGGTTTGTAATTAAAAATAAACATCCTACATACTCATAATATATTTTCATTAATTTGTTAAAGATTTACATTCATATCAAATTATAAATTGTGTATTCTATCATCTAAGCAATATACACATGAATGGTGCCATATAACAATATATGTTCTTGAGAGCCCTATAACGATTCAAATGAAACAACTAATACTCATATTATGATTTTGAAACTTATGATTTTGAAACAGAGGGACTATGTTTAATTCGTTACCTGGTGACCAAAGCAAATGCCGAGAATTTTCTTTTGCATGGAATCAAGAGTTTGCAAAAGAATGCAAAGCTCAAGGATCCAATACTCATTTCCATAAGCATCAAAAGGACTCCCACTAACTACAAACCCATCATACATCTCAAGCTCATTCATATTTGGAAATTCACCCTCTACAACCCTATACAAATCCCATACCTCTCCTTCTTCCCCGAAAGCCACCACGAAAACATTGAAGTATCCTCCATACACTTTTTTCACGTACTCTGAGTCATGTGCTGCTAGTAGAAGAGCGTATCTTTTTGTGTTCATCATATTGTTTTGATCATCATTATTTTCCATCTTCTATGAATTATACTACTAATCAAGAGGATACTTATAATTGTATTAGCTAACTAATGATGCTTAATAACTTATGAGCTAATATAATATGATAGAAACCTAGGTTTTTGTTGTTTCTAATTTAGAGAGAAACTAGATTGAAGAAAGAGATTAATATAGTTTTAGTGAAGTGTGTTCAAATTTGTGGTACGAAGAAATTTGAAGGTTGAAGTTACCTTTATATAGCGTAAGGTTTTTTTTTTTCCTCACTTTTTTATGCTATATGATGACCCCACTTAATAAATTTTTTACCAACTAATTTAATGTGCCATGCATATTCCTTAAATAAAATTAAAATTTTAGCTAATTTAATGTATATTTTATACTCTTGCAATTTATATACGTTAGAAAATCCCAATAAAAATACTTTATGTTTTGTATTCTTACATAGATCATGGACATATTCATCCAATTATATATATTGAATATGGAAATATTATCTTTATTTATTATTATTTTTATATATAATAAATATCTATTTATGGTCCTAAATAATAAATTTTGTATAAAATAAAAGGAAAAAGTGATATTGACAAATTTCTTCCTAAACTAAAAGAAGGAAAATTATAGGGATCTTAGTATAGGTTTCCAGTAGAAGGTAAAAATGGTGAAAAATTACTAATTAATTTCCAAAAAGTCAACGGTGAATTTATTTTTTCACCTTGCTAGCTAGTTGCTACAAATGATGCTCTTTCATAGTCACTCTTTACTACTACAAGCCAAGAATAAGGCAATGTCAACTTTTTCTCCTCTTAAAAAATTGTTTTTCATTGATTTTTATTAATTGAGTATGCTTTCATGTCTAGATTACAACATGAAATTATCGTTCCAAAAAAAAAAAGAGAAAAAAATTTTGCCTTGATTTTGTTTCTACATATGCCATTAGAAAAAAAAATTTGCATTGTATGAACAACAATAGTTTCAAAAGATTTAACGCTACGCTACGCTACCCTTATTGTTTTAAAAATGTTTCAATAACGCCCAAAGTCCCCAACTATATACTCCGTATTATATACTAGTTGATATATTTCGTTAATAATCTATACGACATCATTAGTTCATTACCCAAGGTTAAAATTGGTTATATAATTTTACCCCACTTCTTATGATATATAACACCCTAATTCCTAGAGTATTTGTAATACTTTGGTTAGACACGTACCGGTGTATGATACGTTTGTTAACACACAACATTAATTATTAATATATTTGATTATTTGTTATAATAAGTTATATATGATTAATTAAAATCCATATTAGCTTTCAAAAAAAATAAATTAAAATCCATATTAAGATAAATTCAATACGGAGTAACATTTTCTATATTATTTGGTTGTCCAAACAACTTTGCTATGTAGGCATGTAAAGGTCTAAGTTATTATATGTCCAACACTACAATTGTTAGGCCAGTCTAAGTCAATTTAGGCCCAATCTAAACTTTTAACTCGCTCCCCAAAAGAAGCCCATTAGGTCCATGTCCAGCCAGCAAAATAAGTAAGTGTAACTTTCGAAGGGGGGAAATCCCAAGGTACTTTCAATTTGTTCATTTATGCACATTCTCGAGAAAGATTATATCTTTGTTCTCATTCAATTATTAACTTAAGCATCAAAGTGAATATTCTCAACCACCCTCCCGAGTTCAGTTTAATCATATTTGTATGAGGTTTTCCTTAATTACATTATTGCACATCAAGAAATCAACCCCCATTACGTGGTGATTGTTTAATACCCAAAACACATACTAATAATAATACCTAGTATTATATTTATTTCATGTATTAGTAAAATATATAAACTAATCAAATTGATGTATGTGAATAGAAAGTAGTGCAAAAAGTCAAAGTGTTCCAATAATCTAGTGATTACAAATATTTTTATTTATATTATTGTTTACAATTGATTTAAATATGTATTCATTATTGTTTTGTCTGTTGTGAAGTCGTTTGCTCTTAATTGAAACTAGATTTTGATGATTAAAAAAAATTATAGGACACTATGACACTAATTTATTAACGAAATTTGAATCGACTCGGAATATACTACCTCCGGTTTTTTTATGTGCAACTTTGGTAGGCTTTACGGTTCACGAGGCAAAACTTGATAATGTTTGTATTATAGGGGTATGTAATTAAGGTGGAGAGAGAATGTTTGGATAATTAATCAACCACCCACTGCCACTGCCAAGACCAGCCAACACCACCGCCGCCTTCACCAACACTACCGCCGCCTTCACCAACACCAGCGTCTGCTTCACCACCACCACTACCACCCCCACGAAACCACCACCATAACCAACCCCACGAAACCAACCCCACCCCACGAAAACCCACCGAAACCCACCGCCGAAACCACCACCTCCACGAACACACACCAAAACCCAGAACAACGACCACCCACCAAAACCCACCGACGGAATCACCAAAACCCACCCACCAGAACCCAGATCCACGACCACCCACCAAAACCCACACACCAAAACCCAAATCCACGGCCACCCACCAAAATCCATCAATGGAACCACGAAAACCAACCCACCGAAAACGACAACCCACGAAAACCAACCCACCAGAAACTAAACCCCCAACTCGAACCCAAAACCACGACCCACACCGCCTTCACCAACACCACCGCCGCCTTCAACGCGGGCCCTTCACCACTACCCGTACCACCAGTACCAACCCCACCAACCCACCACCACCCTCATGAAAACCCACGAAACCGCCGGTTGAAGTTGAAGAGAGAGAAAGAAGGTCAATGGGGGAAGATGAGGATCAGAGAGGAGAGAGAAAATATGGGGGAAGATGAAGATGAATGAAGATGGTTTTGAAAGAGGAGAGAAAATATGAGGGAAGATGAAGATGAAGATGAATGAGGATGGTTTTGGGTTTCTTAAATTGAAGATGAAGAGTTGATGAATTAGATTGGGGTGGTTGGGGTGAAAATTGGGTAAGAATTAGTGAGTAATAAAATCCGATTATAGTTAATAAATTGTGTTTTAATTTTTTAAATGAGGGTAAAATTGACATTTGACTAGTTTTTTTTTACTAAAAATAGAAAGGAAAAAGAAAGTTGCACATAATATTGAGCGGATTAAAATGGCAAAAGTTGTACATAAAAAAAAAAAAAAACAGAGGTAGTATTAAATGTTGAATACAAAATTAGGATCCAAAATGCGAAATTAAAGTTGATGAATTGAACAAGAAAAGCCGAAATAGAGTTAGAAGTCATTTTATTTTTACTTGAGTAAAATAAAAGAGGAAAATATGTAATATTATGGAAATAAATAATTAATTAAAACAATAGGCCCCTATCTCAAGGAAACAATAAGCTCAATGAAACACTAATCAAGATACGAAGTACTAATTAAGACTAGTGTAACAGGATAAACTTCCGTTTATACAATATTAAAAAAAAAATAAAAAAAATTACATAGTACATCCATGTAATGTTACATACAAAGTAAAATTCTTACATTACATACATAATATATGTACAAATTAAAAATAAACATTACACAATAATTACATGCTAAGCTATGTTCATTGTATATTAAATTCAAACCCATATGTTTAATACACAAAACAATATCAAATTAGTGCAACCCAATTAAGATCAACCAGAGCAAACAAATTGATACCCTCCATAAACACTTGGAAAAGAGAAGTAAACAATGATGATGTATATAAATTTAAAAATGATTCACAATATATGTTTAATCACACTATGTATATGACATATAGTCCAAATAAGCTAGCTAGCTTTGTTTATGAATCTTATTTAGCAGATTTCCTCTCCATTTCTAACTTCTCAAATAAGCTTCCATCATATACTCCTCTAACCACATCTTTTTGTAACAAGCCATCCTTGTCCTTGCATAGAGAAAACAGTACCTTCCATTCTACAAAGGCCCCAATCCTGTAAAATAAAAGACAAGATCAATTATAATCTAAATTTAAAACATAAAATGTATATTAGGTGCTTTCGTACAATTTTTTTTTGTTCTATTATTCAATTATAACAGGTATAAAAATTCGGGAAAAAGGGGTATTTTATTCTTTTCAGAATAGAGTAAAACTAAGATAACATAAAAGGCGCACAGAAGAGAAAAATTAATCATCTTTGAAATGAAAAAAATATAAAAAAGAAAATCGATAGAACAGAAAGAGTGAACGAAGTTAAGAAGCAATGCTAACCTTCCTGTTAAGTCCTTAGGTTCTCTGTTTGCCTTGAGCATTTCACTAAGTTCTTCAGAGTTGAGAGCATTTGGATTTGAGCGAGCATGCTTCCTAAAGATGTCTTCAAACTTTGATTCTACAAATCTAAAAATAAATATGCAAATGGTCAACACACGCAATAATTTCAAAAGTTCATAGTAGAGGATGTATTTTCTAGTGTTTTCAATGTTACATGCTTGTTTTTCAAAACTTCACAATGAGCAATAAGTTCAAGTACTAAAATGAATAAACTTTCACGTACACTTTTGTTATAGTAGTCTATTAGCCATGTGACACTCTCCCTCATTTTGTGACAGATCTAAAAAATTTACTTAAATTATGTTACACTTGCTCTCTATTTCTATAAATAAAATCTACTCGTAATCAGTAACAAAGCAAGAAATTATCAATAGAAAAAGGATTCAACCATGAATTTCACGTAAGAGTTGACAATTGTTATTTGTGCAATAACCCAAGACATTGCCGAGATCTATAAACTAACTAATTTCGACTAAAAACAAGTTTCATTAATAAGTTTGTTGTATCCATGCACTTGAAATTAACCTTTAGGCTCCGTTTGTTTTGGTGGAAAACATTTTCCTAGAAAATAATTTTCCTTCATCTTTCCATTTTCCTCTGTTTGTTTTGGTAAGAGATGGAAAACAACTTTTCTAAAGGTAGAAAATTGCAATTTAGAAAAGGAAAACAGTTTTCCTTAAAAAAAGAAGGTATGCCACATTTTCCTCTTCACTCATTACTTCTCCTTAATACTCTCCTCCCACCTTCCTTTCTTTTTCTCCTTAAGTTTTCCTCTAATTAAACAAACAAAGGAAAACTTTTTTTAAAATCATGTTTCCATTGAAAATTGTTTTCCTTGAAAAGTGATTTTCCATTACAATTGTTTTCCTTTAAAACAAACGGAGTAAAGATTGACATACACTACTCCATAGAGATGATATTTTAAGGGTAATAATTAAATGGTTCCGAATTTCTAATTAATTTAAAGAATGATGCAATAACAGTATATTTCCTCCGTTCTTTTTTACTTGACCCTCTTTGACTTTATACTATTCATTTTATCTCTTTTGACCATTTTTTGTGAATTATATATATGTAAAAAATATTTATGTGGGATCTTGTTAGATTCGTCTCAATAAATACTATCATAATATATATTTTCTATAATTTTTACTTATGAGGAGTTAAAGTTATTGATTGTTAAAATTATACATTGACAAACGTGATAAATAAAACAGTTCAAGTAAAAAAGAATGGAGGAAGTAATACATACCTTCCTTGTGTGTCATAGGTACCAGTCTTCCTTGTGTGTCATAGGTACCAGTATCACTCCCATGTTTGCCTTTGGCTATGTTCTTTATTTCTATTGGAAAAAACAAAGAAGGAAATTTCCCCTGCACTCATGCCAAAAATAAAATAGAAAAAAAAATCGTCAAAAATCATTTTTTAATAATTATACTGATTAATCAAAAAACATTTGAATTTTCCTCTACTTTTCTTTGTTTGTTTTGTTAAATGGCGGAAAACAATTTTCCTATTGGTAAAAATTACTTATCAAAAGGAAAACCATCTTTCTTTTATAGGGAAAAAGTATGACAAATTTTCCTTTTTACTCCTACTTCTCGATTCTCTCACCTCTATCTTTCCCTTCCTTTTTACTTTCATATTCTTTTTCTCCAAAGTTTTCTTATAATTAAAAAAGAAAAATTATATACATAGCTCTTAGGGGCTTAGGGCTATATACATGTAAGGAGCTAAAAATGAAAAAAAAAACAAATGAAAATATAAAATTAACTATACTGATTTGTGCGTGATTTTGTCATGCAATCCTAAATTAATACCAAATTGGGAAAAATATTAAATGCTTAGTTGTAACTCTGAGCACTACATATATCATTATCCTATTAAAAATTAAACAAAGCTAACCCTTTTTACAATCAATTTTTCCATTAAAAATTATTTTTAATGAAAAACGTTTTCCATCAAAACATACAGTGTCTACATTACCGCGGAAATTGATCATGATATGACTAATTATTTTACAGTACAAAATTATAAAAATTCAAAGAGGTACCGGGCGAGTTTTTGGACTGATGGTCAAGGTGACAAAGGTGGTGGCGATGGATATAAATAGCCCACATCCAATGGCACGCATTCCTACAACATGTACACCCCCAATCACTTTACCAAAAAATTCTTGAGATTAAATTATCAAAAATTAATCATATTTGGAGCAATTATTAGATTATAATTGAACCAAAAATCCTTTAAATATAAGTACGAAAAATTAACTTAAGTTTAAGGAGAAATATATGGTTTATAATTTAACCTTTGAAGGTCTCCCATGGATAAATAACACCATCATGATTCCTATCAAAGAAAGCAGCATGTTTAGCAAGCACGTTTTCTCCCGTTCCTTCAACTACATAACCACATAGCAAATTTAATACGGAGTCAAATTTTTTTTTAATAAGGAGTCATTCATAAAAACACACTAAAAATACGTTAATTAAATATAGATAGTTGTACTTCATTGTCTCAATTTACTTATCCATGATCATTTATGCATAATTTTATGCAAGCGATAATATAGAGAGAAAAATATGAGTAGCTGAGTGTGGGACCCATCTCATGAAAATATGTAGATAAATAAATTTTATTAGAAAAAAATAAAACAAGTAAATTGGGACACCTTAAATTAAGAAAATGGGACGAGCAATTTGGAACGAACATCTAAAATAGCACCTATTGGAAGTTATATCGTACATACCTTCATTTTGATTGGTAATACTACTTGAAGCATCCATGTTCGTTATACAAGTAAAATGGTGATCTAATTCAATGACTTTTTCTTCAATCAAATGGAGGAAACTTTGGGAAAGGAGAATTTGTTGATGAGGGAAGCAATACTTTTATGGCGTTGATAAATTTGTGATGGGTGTGGTTCTTAAATAACTAGCTTTCTATCCATGCAAAAATTTGCATTAATTTTAAAATAATATACTAACTATTAAATAATATATTTGTTCTTGTGCCATCTATATGTTGATACTGATTAGTAATTATTCTAAAAGTCCAATATGTCGGATTTCGAATAAAAAAAAAATAGTTTAACTTTCAAATTGCTTGTCAAATGAAGATTGCAACATAGATTTTATGTGCACGTAAAGAACTTAATATATAGGGGATATTATTTGTTTTAATTGGTTATTGTTAAGGGACAACAAAAGCTTAAGTTGATGGTTAATACTCATAATTAGTTTATATACGAAGTATATACTTTATGCCTCTATTAGTTATGTTGGTCTTAAGACCTAAAATTGAATTTTGTTTAAATTATTTACTCGTACCTTATATATATGGCGCTCTCTGGCCTCTCTATCCTATACTCACAGGATTGGGGGCTATGAGGAATCGAACCTATGAGTATTTTGTTCTCATTTTGATGATTGTTTTTTTAATTTAATTATCAAATGAAGAGCAACCACTAATGTTAGGTTATTTAACTGTATGATACACCTGATTGTATATAACAAATTCTTCCTACCTAGCTAACATAAGAAAGTTGCTTATCGTCGCACTTAACATGTGAAAAAATTATTACCTTAACATGTTAGGATTCTCTCCACCTCTTTTCCTCATTAAGATCTTAAGATTACGACAATACCCCTATCATGCATATTCGACAATCAATTGGAGGAATGAACTAGCTACATACCGCCTTTTTGGGAAAGAGTTTTGTTCCCAAGTTAGAAGGCTACAAAAATTATATTTTTAAATTGGAATTGCAAAGAGCTAATCGTAGAAGTAAACTACGGTTTCAGGAAAACTATTTGATAATTAATTGATTTTAAGAAGCATAATTAAGATTTGCTGTGACTATTTGATGGATACGTTACAACTAAAAAAGTATATTTTTGGAAACAACTCACAACAACAATTTTTGATGCTGAATAAGTGGGCAATGACTAGCAATGTCGCTAGTCAACGTTCCAGTTGGCATCATATAAGACTAAGCAATATTGATTAAATTTCTGTATTATTTCATATTTTTACAAAGTTTTATTTTATTTTATTTTATGTTACAAAATTAAAATAAAGACCACATTAGACAATAAGATCAAGGAAAATGTATTGGCATTGACAATTTTATATGACAATCTGTTCGATCATGCATGTTAACATTCTTTAGCTCGATCATAACCATGTGTTAACATTCTGTGGTCCAACTTATTCAAGTTAAAATCAACTTATTTAAGAATTAATCATATAGGTCAGATTAGATTTTTTTTTTTTTTTTTTTTTTAAATTTTTTTTTACATTTATTTATTGTTAAATATCATTATTTTTGTGGTTTAAAAATTATAAATAATTTATATTTGAAAAGTGCACATTATAGGGATATAATGACATTTATTTAATAAATTAAGTTAAAGTTTGTCAAATTTGAAAATCAGTTTAAAATAAATCAAATTAGAAAAATTCAGATTTAATAATCATGTGAATTGAACATAACCTTATTGTCTTTTATCTAAATTATTTATCAATTTAGATCAAAAGACCTATAAGTAAGCACCTCAAAATGATCCCTTATTTTGTGTGTAATTATCAAATTAAAAATTAAGGATAGTTCCATATACTAATGAGTAAATTAAACTAAATCAAAGTTCATCAAAGTTAATATAGAATAAGATTTAAACTAACGCATATAATTAGTATATATTTCATCTTTATTAATCGTTGATGCGTGCTACTAAATCGTCCAATAATATACAAGTAATATAATTTCAATTTGATATAGACTCACATGCACCATGATTCCAGGCATGAACATCAATATATCATGCTTTTGTTACAAACGTCATTCTTGATATGTGGATTCTTTACTTCCTTTACGGCTTTACATACAATTTTAACGTCTTTTAAACGTACAAGAATTGAAATTACATGAGAATGTAAAAAAACAAAAAATGGTCATGAAGTTCCCTTTTTTTTCCTTTTTCTTTTTCATGATTGAAATCACTTATATTCCCCTATGTGGAATCACAAGATGATGATAGGTTGCCGCCTGCCCGCCTCGCCAGGTAACCTGCACAGTAATCTCCCAGCCTTGAGAGGGTCCCCCAGATGGAGCCTCCGAAGCTCAAGTCAACTACCATGGATGTAGTAAGAAAGTAAAAGAAAAAGGGAGCAATGGGTATAGGAAGGAAGTTTCTTATTGCCATGCAGGTGTATTTATAGTACTTTAGCATGCATGTTATATATATATATATATATATATATATATATATATATATATATATATATATATATATATATATATATATATATATATATATATATATATATATATATATATATATATATATATATATATATATATATATATATATATATATCATGGGCTGGGGCTTATGGGCCATGGATTGTTGGGCCTTGTATTTTTAGATCCATGGGTTGGGGCTTATAGGCAATTGATAGTTGGGCCTCTTAACTTAAAGGCTTTGTTACGAGAGTAGTGAGTTGGACTTATGTATGAGTTCCTTTTTACAAAAACCCTACTTAAAAATCAAACAGTGATTTCAAAACTTACAAGCTCAAATTCTTATCACGCTATCGAGAATAACTTGGTATTATGCATCCCTCGCTCATAAAAGTATAATAAAGACATTATACATCCTTGTAATAATGTACATATATAAAATTACAAGCATCACATTAACAACTCAAAAGAACAGTGTATAAATTCAAAACTAACTATTATAATTAGATACATAGCCACAACAATGAATTGGTGTCCACCATTTGAAGATGAACTGCATTGCTAATTTATTTATCTCCTCCATGAACACTTGAGAAGAAAATAAAAGGAAGAAAAAAAATCAGAATAAACTAATTGAAAGCTTTTTACATTTCATATACTTGTATATATGAAACACACAAATGATTTCTTAAAGTTTTACCCTTGTTTATGATTCTTAGTAGATTGTCTATCCATCTCCAACTTCTCAAATATGGTTCCATCATATACTCCTCTAACTTTATCTTTTTGCATCAACCCATCCTTGTCCTTGCATAGCGAAAACAAAATCTTCCATTCTACAAAGGCCCCAAACCTTCAAAAATAAAAACCACGGAATATATTAGATTCTAACCCGAACCATAAAATATAGTTCGTATTAAGTATCTTTGAACATTTTTTTCTTCTACCCAATTATTATAGATACATATTAAAGACCAAGGAAAAGAGGATAAGGACTAGTAACGTAGACCATCCACGCGTGGCGGCGTGGAAATTGATTGGCCAAGAGCCCAAGATATTAGTTCAAAAGAGAAAATTAATATTCCAATATGAATAAAATGAAAGTAGAAGAATATAATGAGCCGATGAAAATAAAGAGTGAATAGAACAATAAAGAACGGACACAATATGACTTCTATACAAATTTTTAGAGCAGAGAAGTTTAAGAAGTGTTGCTAACCATCCTCCAATGTCCTTTGATTCTCTGTTATCCTTCAGCATTTCACTTAGTTCTTTAGAAGTAAGAGCACTTGAATTTTCCCTTGCATGCTTTTTAAATATATCTTCAAACTTCGATTCTACAAACCTTTGAATAAAACACATAAAAGATTGATCAACACACTTATTCATCATTGTGAGAAATGGAACTATGTTATATTTTCGTCTTAATATGTGTCAAAACCCAATATTATTATCTACATGTAAGTTGTCCCACATTAAAGATTTACAAAAAAATCATCAAGTTATAATCTAAAGGAGTAAGGGGGGAGTTTTTCCTAATTATTGAAAAATTATCAGCAATTGATTTTAATATGGAATCTCTTCTAGGCAGTCTCATCGTTATCATCAAAATTAATAATTACTCCCGATTATCTAACTTAATTAAATAATGATGCAACAAGACAGCCAAGAAAAGTTGAATTTTTAGGCATACCTTCCTTGTGTATCATAGACACCAGTATCACTCCCATGTTTGGCTCTGGCTATGTTCTTTACCTCTATAGGGAAAAGCAATGAAGGAAATTTCCCCTGTACACAAAGCCAACAAATACATAGAAAATCAAATTTCAAATTACACTGAGTGAATACCTTTTATAAAATTTTCTTATTCTATTACTTAAGTAACATACAAATAGATAATACAATGAAACAAATATTTGAACATTAAATAATAAAATGATTGGTATGCTACAAAATACTTTGAAACGAATCATGCATGATACAACTCACAACACGCTTTGGTGCTTTCATGTATGGTGTACCGACATCTCTAAATTATATGCATGTGTTAATTACACATTGATTGGTGATCCAATATTATATTATTATTACCTATCACTTTTTTATTTTTATTTTTTTATTTTTTATTTAGTGCAAAATTCCTTACCCATAAAAAAAAAAAAAAAAAAAAAAAACCTCCGGCTAGAGGTGGCCGTAACCAATTGAGGAATCCGACTGCGTGCTAGGTGATGAGGCCAGGATCGGACGATGAAAGAAATGATTAGGTCATACGATTTAGTCTCAACATCTAACTTGATGATTAATTTTTACTTACAAAACTTTATTAGTGTTTAATTTCTCACTCCAACTAATCCCGTGTCCGTAGAAAATAGGTTGTTTTCTTGTAGTGGTATAACTTGCATTAATCTTTGTTAGAGATTTAAGATATAATTAATATGAGAAAATATATGTGTGTTACATCTTTCAAAAAAAAAAATAAAAAAAAATAAATAAAAATAAAAAAATGTCACTCTATCACACCCAAGTTATGTTTTAACTCTATCACTATTAAACATACATGCATTAGCTGCCCTCAAAAAAAAAAAAAAAAAAAAAAAAACATTCATTACCTAGATATAATTTATATTATTAAATCTCCTATATGCTCCCTATCTTAGAATTTTTCTTAAATTATTTGTTAAATATATCGTTGTGATTAATTCAAAACAAATGGAGTACTTTGTAATATGCTCGCTATGAGGAATTAATTTAACAATTCGACTTTAGTCTAATGTGTAGCAAGCTCTACAAAATCATAAGAAACTTCATCAAACCAATATCGATCACCAAAACCCCTTCTAAATCTTTAGACAAGCTCTAATGAAAACCAAGTCTAAACATAAGACCATTTTCATCAAAGTTAAGCAAATATATACTTTGTATTAAAGTAAATCTAATAGATTTTCAAAATTAAATATTCAATCATGCCTCTCTTTAATTTTTAATTAGATAAGTTTACAACCACTATTTTTAAAATTAGAGAAAGATTAGTAACAATAAATTAAATCAATTTTTTTTTTTTGGTGTTTAGAGAGCCACAAGGGCATGTGATGAAAACCGATCCTAAGATCTCCTGAAATCAAGAGGAAAGCTCTAACCACTTGTTTGATACTTTGTATGATAAAGCAAGTACAAAGTAAGACTTTACAATAAAGAAAATAAATCCAATAAAAAAGAAAGAAAAAGAAAATAAGAAATAGTATAACTAGTTTGAAAAAAAAAGGTACAACTAGTTTGAAAAGTTATAAAATTACAAAAATATCATTAATAAATAATAACATGCGGATCTATATTCTATAGTTGACTAGAGATACGAGAGAGATACCGGGCGAGTTTTCTGGCTGAGGCTCATGTTTACGACGATGGCGGCAGCGGTGGATATAAACAACCCGCATCCAATGGCGCGCATTCCTACAACAGTACGTATACCCCATCATTAAACCAAAATATCATGAAGTTTAATTACAAAAATTAGTCAAAAAGTTTAAGCAAATATTTGATTCATAATCTAACCTTTGAAGGTTTCCCAAGGATAAACAAAACCATCATGATTTCTATCAAAGAAAGCAGCATGTTTAATAAGGACATTTTCTCCCGTTCCTTCAACTGCATAATCACATATATAATAACAAATTTAATTATTAAAAAAAACCCGAATAAAAATGCATTAATTGTGTATGATTAGTAGGCTTAGTGAAAAAATTGTAAATGAACTTTATACATACCTTCATTATGATTGGTAATTCCATTTGAAGCTTCCATGTTATACAAGTTATTTGACGCTAATTCAATGTGTTATTTTTCACTTTAGGAATGGAGGAAACGATAGGATATAAATAATGAGAATGTGAATGGGAGAAAACAGTATTTATGGTACTCCCATATTTATTTATTAGTAATGGGGTGTTGGTTCTTGTGTAATTTATTTATTTTTTTTTTTTTTTTTTTGGGTGAAACACTCTTGTATAATACTCCTAATAGTGGTATACATAGTGGTATGTGGGTATGTACTACTTTATATCATTGGAATCAGAGAGCTCAAATAGTTCCCGTTTAGTAATTAGTTTCTAGCTAATTGATATAATTGGTTGTATTAGCTAGTTGTATAAAAAGGTTTAACGAACTGATTTTAACTGTTAAATGCATTAATAAAGCTAAATATTCAGTAAGAAATTTTTAAAAGCAATTACTATATGAATTTTGTTTTAGAATAAATTATTTGAGTCTAAAAAGATCTTTTAAAATAAATCTCTAATAGACATCAATAAACTAAGAGCTTCCTGAAAAGTTCTTACCAAACAAGGTCAAAGTCTCAAATTCGAGTCCCACCATCTACATATGCTTGAGAGTTAGAAGGGCTGATTTTCTTACCTCCCCTTTAGACTCAAACGTTGATTTGTGTAGTTGGGTACTTGGGTTGATTGACTTGGAAGAGGTGCTAGTTTAGTAGGGCTCCAAACAAAGCATGAAGTTATTGTTCTAGATATTTTGACCCATTTATTTAAGCAGATCAACATGAATTATACTCGTACAGTCGTATTGGTTTAATTCTTCCATTTAACTTTGATTTCCTAGTTTAATTCACTTTGATTTCCTAGTTTAATTGTGTACATACATTTGTCATTATACATGATTCATATCTCACTATTAAGATCACTAACGTATTAGAAAATTGTAAAAAAAATAAAATCAATATCTTAAAACATTTGAGAAAACGAATTAAACAATATTCCACACGATTGTGTTTTTTATACAAGTACATAGCATATTGGAGTAATGTAGAAGACTCCTTACCATTATAAATAAAACAAGATTTTAAATCATAATATAAAAAAGAAAACGAGGGAGTAATAATGATTAGATCGGACTAATATAATGTTGAGATTTTCAAATCCTGAATACGACTCACAAGTCACAACTGGTTTTTGGTAATAGACAATGACGATGACATAATAAAGTCGTTAATTATTCATCGTTGCAGATGGCATTATCAAAGAAAAATTAAATTATTCCTGAATTATTTGCATGTTTTATGAAGAGTATTCCTAATAAACAGCACCTGACGACAAAAATCAATAGTGAACAAAACTTATTGGGATCAATTCGATCAATGAGATTAATAATTTCTTTAGATGAGCTTGCATCAATAAGTTTCAAGAATCCCCTGTCATATAGATATACTAAAGAATTTTGCCTAATTTAATTATAATAATATATTAGTTGTTTGGATTGCATGAAAACTGAAAATGAGATGCAAAACATGAAATTAAAGCTGGAAAACTATAAAATGCGAATTTATAAGAAACACAAATACGAAGAAGTTGTTTAGATTTTAATGGTTTTTGTTGACCTTTTGATGATGACACATCCTAACTTATTTACTTACTAATAAGTGTTTGATTGTTTAATTGTGTGATCAGATGCTTTGACTAGGAGAATTGAGTTGTCTTGCGAAGATTCCATGAGTAACAAGATAGCACAGGACAAAGTAATCCAAAAGAGAACTGGAGTTTCAGAGTTGGAGCCTTAAGAAGAGAAGTTCCTTTTAAGGAACAGAAGCTTTGGAGTACAAGCTTCACCAGAGAAGAGAAGTTTCTCTAAAGGAATAGAAGTCTCGGAGTAGAAGCTTCATTAGAGAAACATGAAGACTAAAATATTTTTATGTTTTAGGATTAATGTAAGTATAAGAATTAAGTTTATACTCTAAATTAGATGTGTGGAATTGGTCTAAAATATAAGTTTATGTGTTGCTTAAATTTAGGAAAACAGTTGGTTTAAATCTTATCTTTTTAATTTATGAAAATGATTTTATTTTCATTTGATTTCGAAATATCAGTTACAAAAATAAAATCTAATCATGTTTTCCAAAAGTTGCGGACTACTCCCCATGACTTAGTCCATGTCATGGTCTTGCGCATTAAGGAGATCATGCCCTTAATTTTAGGACATGTTCTGTTTAGTGGGTTGTGAGTAGTGGCATGAAGGCTAAGTAGCACAAGGCGTTTTTCCAAAGCTAAAACGGTCTATAAATAGCTAGTTATTTCTGTTGGAAAAACTCAGCCTTGCTCAAGTAGATTTTATCTTTTGTTTTCTTTAACAGAGTTAAGAGTCCTATTCCACACTAGTGAATTAGAGGGTTCTTATGTTCTTATACTAGAGTTAATTCTTTCGAGTTGTATTTTAGGGAATTAGAAAGTTTGAGTGAACTTTTGTTTTAGCTTTGAGTGAAGCTAGGAGAAAGAGAAGAGAAGAGTAACAAGTTGAGTGGCTTGTTGCTTGAGGCTTTGAGTTCGTTGAGGAACTTGAAGTAAGAGTCTTTAGTTTGTTATAGGCCATTGCCCTATTCTAGTAAAGAATCTGTTTTTAAAATCCTTTGTAGTTGTGGTTCTTCTCCTTGATTAGGGCCAAGGAGTTTTCCACGTAAAATCTCTCTTGCACTTTAAGTTTCTTAAGCTTAATTGTTTTTATTTCCACAAAAAGTTTGACAAATCTACCATACTAAAATTCAACCCCCCCTTCTTGTAGTATTCATTGAAACAACAATTGGTAACAGAGCCTAAGTTCTCGGAGAATCAGGAAACCCTGACGAGAAGGATCTTGGTCAAGATGAATACTCATGAAAAGCTCGAGAGGATATTCAACTCAGAGGCCTCCTATGTTAAATGATAAGTTTTATACTTACTGGAAGAACCGAATGGAGATATTCATCAAGGCCGAGAATTAGCAAGTCTGGAGGGTCATTGAAGTTGGTGATTTTGAAGTCACTAAAACTAATGCACAAAATGAGGTAATCCCTAAACCTATGTCTAAATATGAAAAGGAAGATTTTAACAAAATGGAAATAAATGTTATGGCTATAAAATTACTCCACTGTGGGCTTGGACCTCACGAACATAATCATGTTATGGGGTGCAAGAACGTAAAGGAAATATGGGATTTGTTGCAGATTAGGCAAATAAAAGAAACTATAGGCAAGTATGGGTAAAGAAAACTGATATTGCTTCCACGTCTAAGGAACCCAAGGAAACTTGGGTTCCTGATCCTAATGCTTAGTTTTCTTGCATGTTCTAGTGGGGGGGGGGGGGGGGGGGAGGGGGGAACAACTCGTGGTATGGAGACAGCGGGTGTTCCAAGCACATGACAAGTGACAAATCACTCTCACTAGAAGACTACCCTGGAGGAATAGTAACCTTTAGGGATAACAAGAAGGGTGAGATCATTGCAAAAGGATAGATTGGAAGATCAAAGTCTCACTTTATAGACAATGTGCTCCTGGTCGAGGGCTTGATGCACAATTTGCTCAGTATATCACAACTCTGTGATAGAGGAAACTCTGTAAGTTTTACTTCTGATACTTGCCAAATCATCAACAACAAGTCAGGAAAGGTTGTTCTTGAAGACACGAAAAAAGGGAACACATATACTGTCGACCTCAACTTAATCCTAAGGAACAACCTTACATGTCTGAGTGTTGTTGAAGATGATTGGCATAAACATTTTGGACATGCCAGCTTTTCATTACTCGACAAAATAAGGTCAAGGAACTTGGTTATAGGAATTCCTATAGTTAAGTTCCTACAAAACAAGGTTTGTGATCCATGTGTGAAAGGCAAGCATGTTCGTTCATCTTTTAAATTGAAGAACCACAAAGACTCTAGAATTAATCTATATGGATTTGTGTGGTCCCATGAGAATTCAAAGCAGGAGTGGCAAGAAGTATGTTTTGGTTATTGTTGATGACTATTCTAAATTCACTTAGGTAATTTTTCTTCCTAGCAAAGATGAAACCTTTGTTTGTTTCCTTTGCCAAAAAAGTACAGAAAATCAGCGGCTATTCCATAATCCATCTCAAATCAGATCACGAAACTGAATATGAGAACTTCAAGTTTGATGAGTTTTGCAGGGAAAATGGAATGAACCATAATTTCTCAGCAGCAATAACTCCCCAACAAAACAGAGTTGTGGAAAGAAAGAATCGAACTCTAGAGGAAATGGCAAGGACGATGCTAATTGCAAGTGGATTGCCAAGGAACTTCTAGGCTGAAGCCGTGACCACATCATGTTACATTCTCAACAGAGTAACAATCAGAAGCATCATCAACAAGACTCCCTATGAACTGTTTAAGGGAAGAAAACCCAATATATCTCATCTCAGGGCCTTCGGTTTTAAGTGCTTTGTACATAACAATGGTAAGAAAAACCTAGGTAAATTTGATGAAAGAAGTGAGTAAGCTATATTCCTTGGATATGCCTCTAATAGAAAAGCTTACAAAGTTTACAATAAAAATTCAATGTGTGTCAAGGAAAACATTCACTTAATCTTTGATGAAGTTAACCAATTTGTGAGTGTACAGGAACAGGAAGAAAATAATTATTTTGAAATTGGATTGATAAGAGACAGGGATGAAAAAGAAATTTAAAAGCAAACCAGAGAAGAGCAAATTGTTCCAGATCAGAATCAATAGGAAAATGAAGAAGTTCCTCAGCCAGAAGTACAAATCAATGAGGAACCAGCAGATAAAGAAGAAGCAGAAGGAACAAAGCAAGAAGCTCCTCAAATTGGAGTTTCAGCAAGGGAATTTTAACCTAAGTCGTTCAAGTATCAAGGTTCTCATCCTACTGATCTTATCATTAGTGACATTGGTAAAGGAACTCAAACAAGATCGCAAATGAGGAACTTCTGTGCCTTTCATGCATTTCTATCCATTCTAGAACCTCGAAATCATCAAGAAGCCCTGGGAGATGTTGATTGGATTGTCTCCATGCAAGAAGAGCTGAATGAGTTCAAGAGAAACAAAGTATGGCATCTCGAGCCCAAACCAAAGAATAAGAAAGTCATTGGGCTCAAATGGGTGTACAGGAATAAGCTGGACGAGCATGGAACCATCATAAGAACAAGGCAAGATTGGTTGTGAAAGGTTACAACCAACAGGTTGGTATTGATTTCGAAGAAACCTTTGCTCCAATAGCTAGATTAGAAGCTATTAGAATCTTAGTAGCTTTTGCTTCTTTTATGGGTTTCAAACTATATCAACTGGATGTGAAATGTGCTTTTCTAAATGGTTACTTAATGGAGGATGTTTATGTTGAACAGCCCCCCGGTTTCGAAAATCCAAAATTTCCAAATCATGTTTTCAAGCTGGATAAAGCTCTTTACGGGCTTAAGTAAGCTCCAAGAGCCTGGTATGAAAGGATTTCAAAGTTCCTTCTGAAAAATGATTTCAAAAGAGGAAAAGTTGATAAAACTCTTTTTCTAAAACCTTAAGGAACTGATTTTTTAGTTGTTCAGATTTATGTAGATGATATTATATTTGGAGCAACTAACAGTGTTTTATGCAAGTACTTTG